GACCCCAGGGGTGTAGGGAAGTTAATGATATCTTAGTGGTAGCCTGACTCATTTTAGAGTGCTTAAAATGTGCATGGGGTTGGATTACTTGAGAGATTAAGACCCTTGGCAAATATACAGAGGAGACGTGTATATTACAAAATAAATGGTGTGAAAATGTGTGCTCTAAATACACGCTGACAGCTATATGCATTTCTGTGGCCTTAACCTGTGAAAGTATGCATGTAGTGACTGTGTGCTTCACTGCCACTCCCTGCACATACATGGCCCTTAAATCAATTCATTTGCATTTTAAGTTGTGGAGGCTCCAGCTTTGTGTACCAAACCTCTGTGTAACGCTGTATTCTATGTTTGTGCTAGAAAACAGTCTATTCAGACTGCATTAGATGAGTATCTTTTTATAGAGTATTTGTCAAACTCTGTCTGTTTCTACAACCCCTCAGAATTTTCTCTGTGGTTCCTGCTGTGTCCATTGCATTGTCTCTTTCTCCTCCAAAGCAGGTTTTGTGGAAGCTTCTTTCACCTCTCTTAGTATTTCTTTACCAGACATCATGGTATTTCTAAAGAACTAAGAAGCCTAAAATACTGTGTAATGTGACAAAATGGATTTATTGTCAGAATTCTTGTGTGCATATGCAAGCACACAGCTGCTCATCTACACACTGTAAGACATACCCAGAAACGTGAGGCTGAGTAAGTGTGTAAAGGGCTGCATGCCTCACCAGTGTCAGACCTGTACCTGTGCCCACAGGCTTTTTAGTGTGCTTGAATTCTGATTATACGTGAGAGCACTTTCAGAAGATGGAAATCAAAATCAGGATTGAATAGTAAGCACATTCAAAGGAGATAGAAATTAAACCTACTGCAGCATATTAAATGTTTAAATACATTTACCATGTATTTACTGTGATGTTACATTTATATTTAAGTAGTATGGAAGTAGCATGTATGGAAAGATAATTATTTTACTTTCCATCTGATTTTTTTTAATTTTTATTTTTGCTATATTCCTGGCAACACATTCTTTCATGTCTCAGTTCTCCACTGTAATATGAGGCAAGACACAAACAGGGAAATGTGGAGAGAAGATGACAAGGCCCCTTAAATAGCTGATATTACTTGCTTCGTGCTGTAGCACAGCAGCCTGAGAGCTTCACAGGAGGCATAACCCGAGTTTGGGAGGTGTGAAATGTGGTCGTTTCTATAAGGTTCTACAATTGCTGTTTGCTAGGGTGATCTTGAGGATAACAAAGACAGTAAATCTTGAGGGGATTCATCTGTATGCTTTGCAGATGGTGCACTGTTCCTCTCCCTGTTCCTTTACCCGATCCATGTAGACCTAAAAGATTAAACTGAAGGGAATATATTAGAGAGAGCACAGATTTAACTTCAGATCCTATAGCTCCAGCAAAGTCCCACAGAAATGATTAGGAAGGTTGAACTTTTGGTCCAATGCGCAGGTTGAAATACCCTTCCATGTGTTGATTGAAGCAGAATAAATTTCACTCCGCCAAACATTCCAGCCAAATACTTGGGACTTTAATTCTCAGCCTTATCTGTGGAAGTAATTTATTCTCAGGTAGCCAGTCTCAACAGATTCACTTCAGCCTTGCTCAGACAAGATTCCCTTTGTAATCATGTGGAGTTTAGCCTGATTAAGAATTTCATCTAACGCAGAAAAGGTGATATATTTTAATCTCATATGGTTAAAATATGACATTTAAAGAAAAGGAAACTCTCATAATCAAGAGATAATTTAGAGGATAGAGATGTATCCTAATCTAGAAATTGTGCATGGTTAAAGCCAGTGGAAGATTTGCTGCAAATTAAACTGCACTGCAGGTATCCTCTTGTGCATAAATAATTGGAAAAGTCATTGATAAAAAGGGATGCTATGGCCAAAGATCAATTAAACAATCAGATTTGCAGCTGTTATTGTTGGTTTGGTGTGTTGTCACTTCTTTATATTTGTTTCTATTTTTCTGTAATTTCCATGACATTGACATACCCACCCACATGTATCAAAGATGTCCTTCTTACTTGGTGTTCCCACTGTTAATGTCTGGTAATAGTTTGCTCTTGTAACTGCCCAGTCTTGTGGTAAATCTGCAAGCCGGCGTCCTTCATTGTGTCCCGCTTTTCACCCCTTCTAGAGTTCAGTGTCACAGAGGTGAAGTGACTGTAACTTCATTTCATCTCGCAGTATTCTGGAAGTCATACAACTCTTCCACGCCTTTAACCAAAATGCATCGAAAGACACTGTCATGTACAGTTTTGGGAATGTGCTCAGAGACACTTCTGATTGTGTACTTAAAAATTCTAGCATTTATATCGTAAGCATATTTATCTAAACTGAAAAGGTGAAACAAGTGCCATCGCATGGGGTTGCTGCATTAATACAATGAGCACAGTATGTTAAGAGATGGTGCGTGATTTGTAAACAGGAACAAAAATGAGTCGAGTGGCTTGTCAGCTGCCATGAAGTTGCCATTTAGTTGACACTGTTAGTGGGTTATGCAATGCAATAAAAAACGTGTTTAATATTTTAATCTAAATAGAGTGAAGGCTTTTGGATTTTTAAAACCATGTTTGATCGGTTGACTCTTTAATCTGATTTTAAGAACTCTAATGACTTAGATTTATGTTATACTCAGTTTTTTTTCCTGTTCTCCTTGTGTGGGTTTTTCATTATTTTATTTTCATTCTGTTTGTTTTTGGCTTACTGGCAAAGGACGGCGCCACTTTAATAAGTATAAAAAGAAGGGTAGGTTTTTAAATTTTCTTTTATTTCTTTTGCGACATCTATTTTGTTTGAAATAGTTGCTAAGCTGTAAAGTGCAGTCTATCTTTTTTAAAGTTCAGTGTAATGAGTTTGCTGTTTCTGATGATTGCCCAAACCATGATACGAATTCCTACCACTGCTGTTTTGTTATGTGTGTACTGTTAACTTATGTATGAAAATATTCAAAGTCCTCAATTATTAGGTAAGTAAGGTGTAATTGCTAGAAAAAGCAATGTTTGCTTCTTCATAGCTGGTACTGAAATACTGTTGCAATTTCAAATTTTAGTTATTGGGGACTCTTCTTGCTCTGAGGTTATTCGGAGCCATATTGTTTGGGCAATGAAATCTTCAAATGCATAAAGGAGTTTTTTGAATATTGAATACTCAAAACTATTCTCGATCCAGAATGAATGTCCAATGGCATAAGAGGTTCTGGGAGTGATCACTGTGGGAAAATAATGAATTTCAGAGTGTGCATTTCTGAATAATTCCATACTCAATTCATTGCTGTAGAACACGTGGTCAACATGAATGAATGCTGTCCAGCACACGCTGCTAATGCATAGCAATTAGCATCTCCTTTCTGCGAGTGATGAAAACAGTATTTGCCTTTGTAGTTTGGCTAGAAATTCTAGGAACTGAAAATAGCAAAAGCAGACAGAAGACCACTGGGCTTGGAAGGAAAAGGTGAGAGCTACTTCTGAACAGCCTCTCTCCTTTGCCTGTCTTGCACATACTGTGTAGCCTGACAGAAAATGCGGGACCACGGTGGGTCTTCCAGAGCATAGTCAAACCTGGGTGAGTGTGTTTGTTTTATTCAAATGAATAGCAGCAAACTTGGAGAATAAATGATGATAGGCAAGGAATTAGGTTAAACATGGTGGTACCCCAAAACGGTTTGGTAAAGAAAAGAGGAACAGTAATTTGGGAAAAATGCCATAATGCAGTTTAAAGGAGGAGATATGTGTAGACTGTCATAAGCATTGCTACTTGTTCAAACTAATCTGTTGTGGTTAGGACTGTACAAGTAAACTGAATGAAGACAAGCAGTGCCTACCTCCAAGAACTTACCATGTCAGTGTGAGTTTAAAGGGAATAATTGGCTACCAAGTGACATATGTGGCAATATAGAGGGGAAAAAAAGTATGATAGACAGTCTTATAGAATACTGGTAGTGTGACTGCTGTTATTTTTGGGAACACTGGTTAAAAGGCAGTTTTAAA